CAAATAAACTGAATTCATTATCAGACCCTTTCCCACAAAATGACCACTTACAACGTAAAAATATTAATAACATATCGTAGGGTTTATAAAACATGTACAGAAATAAAATGTATAGCAACAAGAGAAAAAAGGACAGGAGGGATGTCTTGGTCCATTTGTGCTGCTAAAACAAAACACCTGACACTAGACAACTCAGGAAGAACAGAAATTTATTTTCTCACAGCTCTCCAGATTCAGACGACTTCATCAGTGAATTCCACCAAACATTTAAGGAAGAAATAACACTAATTTTTTTTTTTTTTTTGAGACAGAGTCTCACTTTGTTGCCCTGGCTAGAGTGAGTGCTGTGGCGTCAGCCTAGCTCACAGCAACCTCAAACTCCTGGGCTCAAGCAATCCTCCTGCCTCAGCCTCCCAAGTAGCTGGGACTACAGGCATGCGCCACCATGCTTGGCTAATTTTTTCTATATATATTTTTAGTTGTCCGATTAATTTCTTTCTATTTTTAGTAGAGACGGGGTCTCGCTCTTGCTCAGGCTGGTCTCGAACTCCTGAGCTCAAACAATCCGCCCGCCTCGGCCTCCCAGAGTGCTAGGATTACAGGCGTGAGCCACTGCGCCCGGCCAATAACACTAATTTTACACAAATGCTTTAAAGAAATAGAAGAAAAGGGAACACTTTCCACCTCAATTTATAAGGCCAGTATATCCTGATTCCAAATCTGACAGAAACATTAAAAGGACAGAAGATTACAGACCAATCTTCCTTACAAATATAGGTGAAAAAATTCTTAGCAAAATATCATAAATTGAATCTAAAAGTATATAACTTAGGACTAAGTAGGGGTTATCTCAGGTATCCCAAGGTGGGATTCCCATCCAAAAAATTAACCAGTATAACTCACCACTTTAACAAAACAAGGAGAACAATAATACGATCATCTTAAAAGATGCAGAGGTAGGAGTCAAGAGCCATTCATGATTTTAAAATCTCAGATACCAGGCACGAAAGGGAACTTCCTCAATCTGATAAAGGCATCTGTGAAAAGCCTACAGACAACATCACATTTCGTGGCGAAAGACTGAATTCTTCCCCACGGTTTGGTTTGGTGGGAGGGCAGCCACTCTCGCCACTTCTGTTCAGCTTTGGTCTCGGGTCTCTGTGCAATAAGAGAAGAAGAAGGAAAAATAGAAAGGTATTGAAATAAGAAAGTAAAACTTCTGCTACTCATAGATGACATAATTACATACATGCAAAACCCTAGTGCTGGTTGGGCACGGTGGCTCACGCCTGTAATCCCAGCACTCTGTGAGGCCGAGGCGGGAGGATTGCTTGAGCTCAGGAGTTCGAAACCAGCCTGAGCAAGAGCGAGACCCTGTCTCTACTAAAAATAGAAAGAAACCAGCCAAACAACTAAACACAGAAAAAATTAGCTGGGCATGCTGGCGCATGCCTGTAGTCCCAGCTACCTGGGAGGCTGAGACAGGAGGATCGCTTGAGCCCAGGAGTTTGAGGTTGCTGTGAGCTGGGCTGAGCCACGGCACTCTAGCCCAGGCGAGAGAGTGAGACTCTTGTCTCAAAAAAAAAAAAAACAAACCCTAGTGCTTACAAGGAAATCTGTCAAGGTGACATGATTCAAAGTCAATATATGAAACTGTATTTCCATGTACTAGTAATGAACAAGAGGGAAATAAAATTAAGACAGCAGTATAATTCACAACATCCAATCTAGGAATTAACCTAGTCAAAGTTGTGTGAGATCTCTACACTGAAAACTGCAAAACACGGCTGCGAGAAATTAAATAAAGACGTGGAAATACACACCGCATGCACACAGGGAAGACTCGTACAGTTAAGATGTCCTCAAACTCACCTACAAACTCAACACAATCCCAACCAAGGTCCTGGCAGGCTTTTTCAGGGGGAGAGGGGAGAAATTGAGCTGATTCTGAAATGTATGTGGGTATAAAGAGGACTTGGGACAACCAGAACAGTCTTGAAAAAGAAGAACAGGTGGAAGGATTCACACTATTCAATTTCAAGACTTACTAAAAAGCTGTACTAATCAAGACAGTGGGGTTTTGGTGAAAGAACGAATAAATAGATTGATTTGCACAGATCAACAAATCCCACATTTATGATCAATTTATTTTCAACAAGTTGCCAAGACATTCCAGAGTGAAAGGATAGACCGGGCGCGGTGGCTCATGCCTGCAATCCCAGCACTCCGGGAGGCCGAGGCAGGAGGATCGTTTGAGCTCAGGAGTTCGAGACCAGCCTGAGCAAGAGCAAGACCCCGTCTCTACTAAAAAAATAGAAAGAAATGAGCTGGACAACTAAAAATACATAGAAAAAATTAGCCGGGCATGGTGATGCATGCCTGTACTCCCAGCTACTCAGGAGGCTGAGGCAGGAGGATCGCCTGAGCCCAGGAGTTTGAGGTTGCTGTGACTAGGCTGACTCCACGGCACTGTAGCCTGGGCAACAGAGTGAGAAAAAAAAAAGAGTGAAAGGAGAGTCTTTTCAAAAAATGGTGCTGGAGCAACTGGGTATTTGTATGAAAACTAATAGACCTTAGCTCCTACTTCGTACCATATACCTGTGGTTCTCACGCTTTAATGTGCATCGGTCCTGCCTGGAGGGCTAAGGGAAATACAGATTTCTGGGTCCTATCCCAAGAGTTTCTGATTCAGTAGGTCTAGAATGCTCGAGAATTTGCATTTTGAACAAGTCCCAATCGGTGACACTTAGGCTGCTAGTCTGGAGAGCACACTTGGAGATCCACCAACATAGCGTGAAAATTAACTTGGAATCGACTTAAACATGGAAGCCAGACGAAAACACAGACAGGGCCTGGAAAATACTAATCATGAAATTAAAAAAGAAATTGGTAAGTTGGACTTTGCCCAAGTTAAAATTTTCTGTCCTTCAAGAAAACATGTAAACAAGCCACACATCCGGGGAAAATATTTGCAGAACATCTATCTGACAAAGTATGGTATATAAAGAACCCCTAAATATCCATAACCGAAATGCAAAACCCCAATTTAAAAATTGACAAGAGACTTGAACGCTTGACATAAGGCGCACGAACACCCAACGAGCACAAGGATATGTGCTCAACATCAGGCGTTACGGAAACGCAAGTTAAAACCTCAGCAACACGTAACTTCACATACACAGAACAGGCAAAAACTAAGAACAGACGATACCAAATGCTGATAGGGCCAAGGAGCAACCGGAACCTCCTGCGCCGCCGGAGCAGAAACAAAATGATGCGACCGCTTTGGAGAACTGCTCTGCGGCCTCCGTAAGGACCAGCAACACCTACTCACACGAGTCCAGCTTCACTCCTGTGAATTTGCTTAAGAAACGTGAACACGCGTGTGCATGACCTGCACAGGAAGGTTCACGCCAGGCTTGTCCATCACAGCCCCAAACCGGAAACGACCCCAATGCCCCACGACAGGCGGGTGAGTTAGCAAAGGCGGTTTATTCACACCATGGGGTACAAGAGCTTAACACCGGGGTGAATAAAACTGGAAAGCATGACCCAAAAAGGCACAGGGCAGAGTCGGAAAGGCAAGCGCCGTGCAGTCCCGGCTGCGGCCTGGGCGTGGGGCGTGGGGGGCTCCGCAGGCCCCGCGCGGACAGACCAGGCCGGCCCGGACAGACCAGCCCGCGGCCGCTGCGATCTCCACTGAGTGGAACCTCTGCGAGGGAAGGCAGCGGGGCTGGGACGGAAGCCTGAGCCAGGAGAGAGCTCGGCTCTGCGAGGACCAGGAGAGACGACGAGGGGCAGGGCGGGGGCTGGGCGTGCAGAAGGACGTCGCTGGGCCGGAGGCCTGGGTCCCGGCTCCGCCAGAGGCAGACGGTGGCCGCGGTGTGGACGGGCCTGGCGTAAACCTGTTTCTCTGCGTGCCCGCCCCGCCCACCCGGGGCGGCAGGTTCCCGTGGGCAGGCGTGGCAGGGCAGTCAGGAAGCGCTGGTGCTGGTGTCCCGAGCCCGCAGCACTCCCAGCGGTGGCAGGACCTGCCACTGGGCCACAGCCCTGCGGGGTGGACGGACGCGCTCACCTGGCCCACCTGCTCCTGGAGCTGGGCCTTCTCGCGCCCCAGCAGGGCCGCCCGCCCCTCCAGCTGCTCCTGCTGCTGCTCCAGGCGCCCGCAGGCCTCCCGCAGGCCCCTGTGCTCGGCCCGCACCTGCGCCAGCTGCCGCTCTGCCTGCGCCCGCTGCTCCCGGGCGTCGGCCCACTCCCGCTGCAGCTCCTTCCGCTGCTCCTGCAGCCCGTCCCGCTCCTGCTCCAGCTGCCAAGGGGGGTGGCGGGAGGGCTGAGCATGCCGCCCATGCACCCTCAGCCCCGTGGCTGGCCACTCGCGCCCAGACCTGCCCTCCCGCAGGCCTGGCCGGGGCTGCAGGTTCCCCCGCCCTCCCCCCAAACCTGCTCCTTGCTGGGGGTGGGTCAGTCCAGGAACGGAGAAATCTGGGAGGATGGGTGGAAGGAGGGGCCTGGGGCTGGGAGACCCAGTGCTGGGACAGAGTCTCTCACAGCTACCCTGGGGCAAACTGAGGCCCAAGGCGGGGCCCACCCACCTGGCCCCCACCTCACCTGGAGGACCAGGTGGTTCAGGCTGCCTTTGTCTTGAGCCAGCCCTTCCAGCAGGGCGGCCATCTGGGCCAGGGAGTCCCTTTGCTCCACACCCTCTGACCGCAGCCTCCTCACGAGCAGTTCTAGGTCAGCGTTGCTGGACTCGGCCTGGGGCGGGGGACACCAGGGAGGGACCTTCAGGTTCCCCAAGCTGCTGGTGCCGGGGAAGGAGAGACCCCACGTTGCGGGGGTTGGGGCTCCAGGCGGGACAGGGCAGAGGACTCCCACGGTGGGGCAGCCTTGGGTATTGGGGCTCCTGCCAGAAGAGGGGGCGGGGGGCCCAGGGAGAGGCCAGCAGGGGTAAGAGCAGCAAGTGGTCCAGGTGAGGCCGAGCCCACTGGGTGGGGACGGGGGAGGCCGTCGGTGACGTCGGGAGCTCTGGCGACGGCTGAGGGCCCAGCTGGGCAGGGGAGAGGGGAGTGGGAGGCAGTGAGGCCGGGGGGAGGGGGGGTGGAGGAGGCCGGGCCAGACGGGGAGAGAGGAGCGGAGGCGTACCCGGGCCAGGGCGCCGTGCAGGCCCTCCCTCTCGCTCTCCACCACGTCCCTCTGCAGCTGGGCCGTGCTCAGCGCCTCCCGGGCCCACGCCAGCTCCTTCTTGAGCTCTGAGACCTGCTCCTCCAGCTGCTGCAGGCGCTCTTGACTGAGCCGGAGAGCGGAGGACGGGGCGTGAGGTCACCGCAGGGTGAGCTGGGGCCGCCCCACAAGCCACGGGCAGGGCAGCCGCCTGCAGCGCCCTCCACGCCCAGGGCCGCCCAAAGGCGTGTGCAGTGCGCTCGAGGGCTGGGAGGTGGGGGTGGGTGGTGTTCTCAGTCATGCGTGGGTGAGGCGCGTGTATCCGGGCACACATGCTGGCGGGCCCACCCCACAGGGCGTGTACAGTGGCCGGGCACTGGGCTGGGAGCAGGAGTCTGGGTCTGGGGGGACAGTCCAGCCTGGGGGGAGCCTGGAGAGCCCTTGGCCCCCGTCCCCAGCGATGAGGCTGGAAACAGGCCCATTCAGTGGATGAGGACGCTGAGGCCTGGGGGGGACGTGAGGCCCGGGCCAGGCAGCCCGCTGGTGGCCGAGCCGGGTCTCCGGGAGCTGCTGGCCCACCTGGCCTCTTTCGCCCCGTGGCTCTGCGCCTGCCTGGCGGCAGCTCTTCCTCCTCTGCGCCTCCCTCTCAGGCCCACCGTGTCTCCAGAGCCGCTTTCGGGAGGAGGTCGGGAAGGAGCACAGGGTGGCCGGTCGAATTCAGGGCACAGAGGGAGTCCCGAGGCACACAGGGTCTCCCTCCAGGCCAGCGTCTGCTGGGAGGAGGGGACAGCCCCCGGCCCGCATCCCTCCCCAGCCCCAGCCTGACCCTGGGGTCACACGCCCTGCGCAAAGCTGCGTTCAGCGTCTGCCCACTGTCGGCCCTCGCTCGTCACCCACAGCGGAGCCGAGCCACAGCGCTCCGCTCCCACCCTGCCCCCTCCCAAGTCCCCCGGGCTGGCCCTGCACCCTCAGCCACGGCCCCCTCGCCCGCCTCCCTCTCTCCAGCAGCCTCCTGACGCCTTCCCACGGCGACGTGGTTCCTGCCAGCCCACGCCGGACGCCCCGTCTCGCCCTGCACATGCCTGGGCCCTGCTGCCCTTCCTGCCCCTCCAGGCCTCCTGCCCCCCACCCTGGGCTCCCTGCACTTTGCCTGGATCCCCGCACCCCTGGACCCCATCTCTGTGCCCACCCCCTGCGCCTCTCCAGGGCGGGACTGGGCTCCAGCACCCAGCACACCGGCCACGAGGAGCAGGAGCGGCCTCGGCCGCCAAGGACGCCGTGGGGTGGTCTCTGCTCCCTGCGGGTGGGGCCACCTCTTCCCCCTCTCTCTGCCTCCTGCAGGAAGCCTTCCTGACCCGGCTCATGCCCAGCCTGTCCCCACGTCCCTGCTCAGAGCAGTGCAGATGCGGGAAGTCCCCCTGAGCCTCTCGCTCAGGACTCACAGGTCCCGGGGGCTCGTGTCACGGCCCCTCACCACCAACCCGGGGCGGCAAGACTGGCACAGCAGCATCCGGAGCCACCAGATCCGCTGGACCAGGAGGGCACACGGGCCACCGGGCGGGGCGGGGGCAGGTGGGTTTTATGGGCCATTTTTGAAGGATGGGTGAGACCCGCAGAAGGGGGAAGGGAGGAGATCGCCCAGAGGGATCGGCAAGGGGGTCCTGGCAGCCAGCCGAGGCAGGACACAGAGCACAGCCCCAGGGCCGTGTGGGGCCACGTGGGGCGTGGAGCTGCGGCGCAGGCGAAGGGCGGCGGGGAGCACTCGGGCTCCGCTGTGGGGCGGGCAGTCGGGACTGTGCAGCCCAGGGCACCCAGATGAGGGGGGCCCCCAGTGCATTCTGGGGCCAAGGGGGCGGCCTGGACAGGGCAGGCGTTGTCAGGGAGACGACGGCGCTCTCTCTCCTGCTGGAGGGTCTCATGGAGGGGGCGCCCAGGCTGGCCCCACCCCCTCACCTTCCCGGGAGCTTGGCAGACGCCTGGCAGTGCCGCGCCTCCAGCCCGAGGGGCTCTCGCGTGGGCACCTGCTCCTGTGCCCACTCCTGCAGGTCCCTCCGCGAGGCCCGCAGCTCCCACCGGCACTCGGACAGCTGCGCGCGGAGTCTGGCCGCCGTGGCCTGGGAGGACTCCAGCTGCAGGTGCAGCTCCTGCCCAGGGGGACAGCGGCGTGAGCCCCGCTGGCCTTTGCCCACAGGGGCCAGCCAGGGCTTCCGACCCCCCAGACAGGACCCTCGTGAGGCCACAGCCTTCTCCCGGGCCGTGGGGCTCAGGGGCGGGGCTCACAAGGGCGCGTCAGTGGGGGGATGTCACGGCTCCGCGTCTGGTGCCCCCCGGGCTGCGCTGCCCACCTGCTCCCGCTGCCGCCGCCTCTCGATGGCCCCCCGCACGGCCCGCAGTGCAGGGTCCAGCGTGGCTGGGGGGCGGGCCGGTGGGGGACACCCCTCCTGCTGGGGCGACGTGGTGCGCGGGGGAGTCCGCAGGGGGCTCTGCAGCTCCTCCCCCTCCGTGCTGCGGCGCCAGGCCAGCTCCAGGCACCCGGCGTCCGCCTGGGCCTCCTTCGGGGCACAGAGAGGAAGGGTTGGGGGGAGAGAGCGCGGGGCCACCACTCGGGACACCGGATCATCGCCTTTCCCGCGGAAAGGATGGCAGACAGGCCACACCTTGGTGACGCTCGCCAACACGCGCCGCAGGGACCGGACTTCGTCCCTCAAGCCGTCCTCCGCCACTTGGCCTCCGCTGCGCCAGGATTCCTGCGGCGGGCGGGGGGGACTCCTCAGCGAGGCGGACAGACACCCGGCACAGCCACCCTGTTTCCCAGCCTCACGAACCAGTCTCTGCACGTCTGTCTGGAGGGAAGCGATGGTTCTCTGCTGCTGCTTGCTTTGCTCTGTGAGCTTCTCCACCAGCTGCGTTTGCTCGGACAGTCTGGGGAGAGGTCAGCGGGGCATGGGGCGGGGGGGCAGAGAGCAGAGCCCAGAGCTCGGGGTGGGGGCCCTGAAGAGGGCCTGGCTCTGTCCAGACTCCCATTGGCATTGACCTCTTTGCTGGTGCTGGGGCTACCCTCTGGGTGGGCCTCAGTCTCTGGTCGGATCACATGCCTCTCCTGCTACAGAACCTTCAATGGCTCCCACTGTCTCAGGAGTAAAGTGCAGGCCCCAAGTTCAGCATTCAAGGCCCACACCCTGAGCCAACTCTCCAGCCTCATGCTAGTGGCTGCCTGAGGCTCTGCCCCATCCGTGGGACACAGCGGATGACATGCTCACCTCCAGGCCTTTGCCCCAGCTGGTCCCTCTGCCTGCAAAGCCTCTGTCACCATCAGTGAGTGGCTCCCCCATGGCACCTGGGTCTCCCTTCCCATGGCCCCAGATCACTTGGCCCAGGCCCCGGGTGCTGCCCCTACTGGGTGTCTGCGCTTCCTGGTTCCTCTGGGGCTGTGTCGGGGCGCGTTTGACTCAGTTGTGGGGAGGGCTTGTGCCTGTCAGCCCAGCAGGGTGTTTGTGCCAAGCCAGCTCTGGCCCAGGGTTCTGTGGAAGCAGGCAGGGCCAGCAGGGTAGGCCTCACTGGCGGGTTTGTGTCCAGAACCTTCTGTGCTTACTGTGAGGTTCACAGACCGGGGCAGGAGGGGACCTGGCCGCTCTGCCCGCCTCAGATTCTTTCTTTTTCTTTTTTGGACACAGAGTTGGGCTAGAGTGCCGTGGCGTCAGCCTAGCTCACAGCAACCTCAAACTCCTGGGCTCAAGCGATCCTTCTGCCTCAGCCTCCCGAGTAGCTGGGACTACAGGCATGTGCCACCATGCCCGGCTAATTTTTTCTATATATTTTTAGTTGTCCAATTAATTTCTTTCTATTTTTAGTAGAGACGGGGTCTCGCTCTTGCTCAGGCTGGTCTCGAACTCCTGGCCTCAAGCGATCCTCCAGCCTCATCCTCCCAGAGTGCTAGGATTACAGGCGTGAGCTGCCGTGCCCAATCCTGCCTCAGATTCTTAAACCATTTACCTAAGACAAGTTCCCACCCCTGGAAGAAGGTTCCTGCTTTCAGACCTGAAAATGCCACTTCTGGGAACCAACCACAAGGTTCCTTGAAATCCCGAGCATCAGGGACATCCTCACTCCTGCCTCCAGGGCACTGGCTCGGGCTCCAGGCCTCCCGCCTGGGGGATGCTCTGCGGCCACTGGGAGAGGGATCGTGAACAGCCGACGTGCCCCGGGGTCCGCACGTCCGGTGGAGATCAGACACCCACACCGCACGCGAGTGACACGGCTGCGCCTCAGAAAACACAGCTGCCCGGCAGGCTGGGGGGCGCGGGGTGCCCCTGCCCCTCTGGCCCTCCCCGTGGGCCTGCTGGCCGGGAGCCCACCTGGCCTGGAGCGCCACCTTCTCCGTGGCCCAGCGGCCCTGCAGCCGCAGCATCTCCCCAACCTTGTCCCGCAGCCGCTGCCCCGGGGCGCTGCCGGCCGACAGCCGCAGGTTGGCGTCGAGGCTCAGGCAGGCGGTGTGCAGGCGCCGGGCTGTCCTGGCCGCGTCCGCCCGCATGTCAGCGAGACCTCTGGGGGACAAGGGACACACCTGCGGGCTCCAGCCGGCAGAGGCTGGCCTGGACGCCCTCGGTGGGGGGGGCCCACCTGGGGCACTGAGCGGCTGTGAGGGCAGGGGCAGCTGGGGGGTCGAGCAGGGGTGCGGCCAGGCTGGGCGGGACGGGCCTCAGCGGCCTTCACGGAGACATCGGCCTCGAGCCTCATTCTCCTCGTGCGCAAGTGGGGTGCTGCACCTCGAGGGCTGTCGAGGCGACCCCAGGACAGGCCCGTGCGGGGTGCCGAGCAAGGACTCCCCCCCAGCGCCCCGTCCCTGCTCTGCCCCCCCCACCGCCCCCGTCCCCTGCTGCTCACACCTGCTTCTCCCTCCCCGCCCTCGTCACCACTTCCGCGGCCGACTGCCACGCCCGCGAAGCCTCACGGAGGCCCAAAGCCCAGTGCCGTCTCCTCCCCACGGATGGGCCGCGGCCCCCAGGCGGGGTGGCCGGCACTCACCGCTCGGTGGCCGTGCGCAGCTCAGCCAGGTGCGTGCGCAGCGCCGTGGCCTGTCTCCACAGCAGGAGGAAGTCCCGGGGCCTCCTCGGGCCCCTCGCCCGGGTCTGAAAGCAAGAGGCCCGTGTCCACATCAGGCCGGGGCCCTCACCCAACCGCTCTCTTCCAGATGCCACACTGGGCTGGCTGCACGGGGCTGGAAGTGGAGCGGGCATCGCCCACCCGGTCCCGAAGCCCCCGCGCCCCACAGGCAAGGGAGCGCCCGGCTCCCCCACCCCAAGGAAGGGACTGCACCCTGGTACCCGCCAGGGCAGCCCCTGTGAACGGTGGAGGGTGCCCCACCCCTGGAGAGCACCGGCCTGCTGGTGGGGCTGGGTGGGCGCGTCTGGGGCCTAGGAGCTGCCCGGGACCAGAGCTCCCGTGAGGCAGGACCCGGTCCCGGTCCCCTGCTGGCGCGGGGCACCTCTGCAGCACTGGTTTCCCGCCTCCGGCTGGGAGGGAGGAGGACGGGCACACGGAGCAGTTCTTAGTCTACGGGGATCTAACGTCCAGGCGCAGGCCTGGCACCCTCAAGGCGCGGGACAGACAGCAGTGGGAGGCGCTCCACTCGTAGCCGACGGTCTAGCGCGGAGGGCGGATGGGGCAGCTGCCTGCTGGGCCAGGGCAGGGCGAGTGAGGCTGCAATGAATGCGAGGTCTCTGTGTGGGGCGGTGGGGTTGGGGGGCAAGAGGGGGCTGGGCTGTGGGTGCTCAGCGGTTCCAGCCTTGCAGAGAACCGGCCTGAGGCCCAGCAGGCTCTCGGAGTCCCTGTGCCACCGTCCCGGTCCCCACGCTGCAGTCTCCTGCACGCTGACCTCTGGGACCCCAGAGGGGTCGCCGATGCCCGGTGCTTTCCCACGTTCCCGCCTCTCCTGCCTGTCGCGGCCCCACCCACACGCCCCGCGTCGGCGTCAGATGGCGGGCACGCACCTTTTCCTCGCGAAGCCGTGCCTGACCCTCGCGCCCAACCCCACCTCCGAAGTCGCCCCCGTGAGCCCAGTGACGCCTTGCTGCGCACCTTCCGCAGGGCATGGCGCCTGGCGCCCGGCACACAGAGGTCACTCTGGCTTTAGCCTCGCCACTTCCCACCCTCCGGTCATGACCGCCGGCAGAGCAGGGTGAGACGACTCCCCACGACACGGAGGAGCAGACGCCGGGACCAACCTGCCCCACAAACACATTAGATTTCAGACTTGACTTCTGGACCCACGGCTGGGCTGGCCGAAGCGGCTAGGACGCCAGGCGGGAACCGGTGCAGGCGGAGCACCCAGAGGAAGGGGGGCGGCTTCTCACCAGACTCAGCAACCCGGACACCAGTTTCCTTGACCAAAGGGGCTGAGGACAAAGAGCTGAGTCTGGGGCCCCCCAAAGTGTGACCCACATGCAGGCCAAGGCTGCCCCAGGAACTTCACTCTCAGTACGGTGTGCCAGAGGTGGGCGAACTAGGGGCAAACTGGTACACCCCCTACACATGTGTGCACACACACACACACACGTGTGTGCATGCTCCTCCTGCAAGAGACTGCAAGGAAAACTGCCCGTCTAGAATGCTCAACAGAGGAAAACAATCTTCCCTGTGGATGGGGAACCACAAGTTGGACTTAATGCAGTTTGCAGCCTAAATTCACACAACCTAGGTGGTCTCAAAAAAGCTGAAAATCTACTTTGATGTGGACCCAAAGACTGTCAGAGACCCCAGGCACCCATCAGAAGCAAATAAAAATCCTGTCTAGAAAGTACTGCATTCATCCCAGGTTTTGAAGAATTTTTCACCAAGTTCCAAGGAAAATAAGCAGCTTTCAGTTGAAAAATAACAAATCACCAAAGACACAAGGAAGCAAAGTACCATGATCGGGAGCCAATGGAAGTAAGAGAGTCAAGCCCTGAAAAACGTCAGATGTTGGGACATCTGACACAGACGCAAAATCCCCGTGTTTTGGCACCAACAAATAAACGAGAGGCTTGAAAACATGAGTTAAGAGGAAGATATTTGAGAGAGAATCAAACTGAACTCTTAGAGACGAAAAACACAGTAATACTTGGAACTTAAACCCAGTAGGCAGCTGTAGCAGAGATTAGACACAGGAAGAGAATGGTGATGAGCAGGAAGGCAGATCTGAAGAAAGCATCTGGAATATGGTCCAGGATGACACAAAGAACGAAGTGTGGACGTTGGCGCGCCTGGGGCCGCCGGGGACGGGCGGGGGGTTGCGGGGGGGCCCGGGGGGGCCGGGGCGGTTTCTGGAAACAGCGGAAGACACAGGCTTTCCGGCCCGAAGCAGGACAAAGGAAAGTCACCACGGACACGTCTAGTGGAGCCGCAGGACGCCACAGCTGGGCAGAGGCCTTCGGCGCAGCCAGACGAGAGGACAAATTACCTTCGCCGGGCGGCGGCCGGCACCAGAGCCCGGAAGCCGACTTCTGCGCGGCCACAGCGAAGCCGGGGGACAGAGAAAAGGTGTCTTTAAAGTGCTGAGAGAACACGACTGTCGCCAGTGAGACAGCGTTTCAAGGACAAGGGAAGACAAAGATCCCTGATAAACCAGCGCCAGCGTGAACTCGGGGCTCCCTCCTTCCAGGGCGCTTGTTTGCGCGCGGCGGCAGCTGCTACCACCCAGCCCGGCAGTGTGCGAACGGGAACCAGGCCGTGGCGGGAGGCGGCCAGGCCGGGTATCTCGTGCCGGGAGGCCTGCCTCCGAGATCGCCCGTGACGGCAGGCGCGGCTCTCAGAGACGCTCCGTCAAGGCAGGGCACCGCCTCTTGCGCCTCGGTCGGCTTGCCTGACGGGGCAGCAGCGGGAGGGTCTGCGGCTGCGCAGGGCCGGGCAGTGGGTCAGGCCTGGCTTTACAGGGCCACCCTGTGGGAGGCGCAGTGAGGCCGCTCAGAGCACCTCGTCCAGGGGGCGTCGTGGGAGGACAGTCTGAGGCCCAGGCACACGGCCGCCTCCTCCGGCTTCAGCCTCCACTTGGAGGCAGCATGTTTTCCAGGCGGCTTCCGGGGAGAAACCTGGCCAACGGCGCATGCGGAGCGTCCGGACCCCGGTGGAGGGCTGTTGGGAACTGGCCAATGGCGTGTGCAGAGCACACACTGGACAACATGTCCAGACCCCGGTGGAGGGCTGTCAGGAACTGGCCAATGGCGTGCGCAGAGCACACACTGGGCAGCGCGTCCAGACCCCGGTGGAGGGCTGTCGGGAGCGCCTGTAGCCCCTTCCGGGACTGCCCCAGCAGCAGCCAGGCTGCTCAAGACCACACCCTTGGGGGTTCCCCATCCTGGGACCGGGAGCAGGGGCATGAGCACTGGATGCCTCCCTCCCATGGGGGCCGTGCCCAGACGCCCCACATGGCTGGAGCTCTCAGCAGCTGAGCGGGCGGGGCTGCAGGGGGGCTGGGGGCCCCAGGCTCCTTTGCGGGGTCCTCCTCTTACAGTCTGAGCAGGAGTCAGGCCTACGAAGACCCCCTGCCTCTCAACTCGGGGGGGGGCCAAGCCAGAGCCAGGACCCGGCCATGTGCCTCATTCGCAGGGTCCCGCCCTCCGTCTCTCAAGTGGGGAGGGGACCAGGGAGTCCCTCACTCCACGGACTTCTGTGGCCAAGCCGGGTGTGGGACATGGGCTGGCAGGGGGCCGTGGCCTTGCCCCCAGGAGGGACCGCCGCTGAAGCCAGCGCGCCCTCTCCTGGTCCCTGCTACTCAGCCACCGGTACCCCAGCAGGCAGCCGCCCCGGGGTGGGTGAGAGTCGGGGGCGCACCTCGCTCTCAGCCCCGTGCCTCGGGTCAAGCTCGCGGCGTAGGCGGAGCGCGACGCCGGTCGTCTGGGCCAGCTCCTGGGCCAGCGCGTCGTTGGCCTTCTTCATGTGCTGCAGCTGTTCCCGCAGGAGGGCGTTCACCTGGGACAGGCCGGTGCTCCTGCACAGACAGAGCCCACGGTGGCGCGGCGGTGGTGGTGGCCTCTCCTCAGACAGGTGCTCGGAGTCCCAGTCTCCAAATCAGGGGGCTCAAATGGAGCCCTGAGTCCCCGGGCCCAGCCGACCCCACTTGGGGGCACATCCCCACGAGCTGTGCAGCGCCGACCACCTGCAGTGGGCCTCACAGCAGCCCCAGACCAAGGGCCAGCGTCAGGGTGGCCCTTCCGGGTGCCAGCCCAGCGCCTCTGTCCCCCCATGCTGCCCCCGCTCCCCTGGCTCTGCCCCCGCAGCCCTGGCTGGTCCTCAACGCCAGGACAAGGTGCAGAGGCCCGAGCGAGGAGCCGTCTCGGGGTGGGCGGTGTGGGAGGGGAGTCGGGCATGGCCCCCGGGAGGGGAGCAGCCTCTCCTGAACCCCGGGGCCCTTTGCCACCAAGAGCAGGTCTACGCGGGCTGCAGGCAGAGACCCCGAATGCACCGAGGTGGCTGGACCAGTCCTGCGAGCCCTGCACCTCCGGGCTGAGCTGCGCGGCTGCAGCGGGTCCTTCTCCGCTACGCTGGTCCCCGGGCATCAGTGTCCACTGGGTTACTTTCCCATCAGAACAGGTTTTCACAATGTTTCTCAGCACTTTTATTCCTTTTCCAGCCCCCCGCGGACGAACAACCGTGAGATTATTCCACAGCTCTGGGAAACTGGGCTGGGGGACTCAGCCCTTCCCAGCTGCCCTGCAGAAAGCCCCTACCCCTTCTGCCTGTCACTGTCGGGGCCTGAGGGGAGGGGTCCCTGCTGGGAGTGCTCGGAAGGTGCTGGGGTGCTGGGTTAGTGGTGCTGGGGGCAGGGTCAGTGTTGGGGGCAGGGTTGGTGTTGGGGGCAGGGTC